ATCATTCCAGTCTCCGTGGTCAAACCAGCCGTTTGTGCTTAACTGTTCTGCTAATATAATTGGATTAAAAGCATTTTGTCATTTTCATGTGTGCTGCTAGGGTATCTTATTTTGAAAACCGGACGTAATTGACACGTCGTCTTGTGCTGAGAGACATTAGCGTAAAGGCTGATGTAGAGGCGCAGTTGGTTTGACAGCGGAGACTGGGATAACGGCTTGACCGCAGTGTTTGACTAGTAGTGTTAGTTTTAAATATAAAAGATAGTCTATCTACGTCAGCTCTGTAAATCCAGTTTAGAAGCAGTGAAATTGTATCTTTTTTTTCTCTCTCTAAACAAAACATTTATTACACCTCAGGTTTTCATGCAATATAAAATTTTAAAAAGTCACATGTAGGCTATGCACAGTTAATGTGTAGTTTAATTTGAGTAGAGTGGCTAAAATGTTAGCTATAACACCATAATGAGTTCTATATTGTTTAATTAACACTGAATGCAGACCTCTGAACTCCACAAACCAGACCAGAAACATACTGCTTACACTTAAAAACTTCAGAGGTATTGCATGGTTTCTGATTTTATAGGTATTTTGCGTTTTGACATTTGACATCCGATTTTCTTTATGACAGTGATTGAGAGAGGTATGACGTTCAACAAATGCCTGCAGCAGGATCTGAACTGGTGACAGTGCAGGTATTAATTTTAACCACTAGGTCACAGCACACCACTTCCCATACTTCTCTAAGGTAAGCTGCTGAAAAGGCTTTTAAGGCTTTTTAATTTTCTTCTAAAGACAGAAGCAGTTTGTTAGAATCTGATGAGCCATTTTTACAAAACAAAATGATGATGATGGGGTCTAGCTGAAGCTGAACTGAATGCTTTTTTTTTTGTTTCCCTACCATCCCACTTCCACTTTTTACAAGCCACATCTCCTCCAGCTCATTTTTCATTGTTCATTAAGCTTTTGATTATTTTTACAATTAATTGTCTTGTAAATACATATCACAAAATAGTGGTGTCCATCAGATATTCTTCAGTTTACTCTTCAACTATATGACCAAAGCCTAAAAAGCTAAGATAATGTGAAAATATTCACATACATGCAATAATTTAAAATCTGATAAAACAAGCAATTATTTACATCTAAGAATCAGAAGCAGAGATTTATTTAGGTGTTTAAAATTAATCATTTAGTGGCTGAAGTTTTTTACTGTATAAAGCAACAAGACCCTTAAAGGTAAAAAAACTCACCTGGAGTTGTAGTAAGTGTAGTACTCCATCTGACCACCAAGGACCAGTATAGCCTAACATTAGGCTCGTGTACAGACTGGACCTAACAGTGACTCACTCTTTTCTATGAAATGTATAGTGTTGTAAATTTGGTCTACTGGAAATTTCAGATACTCTAAATTTTTTAAGGTTTAGCTTGCTTTTGCACAAAACGGACAAAATTCTCTGGGAGATGATTTATGATGTCACTAATCTTTTTGGCCTAATCTGTTGTCTGATTCCTGTGAGTCGTGATCCAGATATAAAGGCCATACTTCTCGTGCTTTGTGCCCTTTGGACTAACCCTCACTAAGCCTGGTGCTTTGCAAAAAGATATCAGAACAAAGCTATTTATTTATTTAAGCTTTAGCTTAGTTGTTGTACTGTGTTAAGATTAGCAGTGCCACTGAGCAGCTAATGATAGTGTAGATTAGTGAAGTTGTCACAAAATGTCTGTGTATGATAATGTAACACAACTGTAACCATATAAACCTGTGCC